ATTGCTGTGGACTACAGTTATTAGTGACTGCAGTGAATTAGTCAAAAATGATATATTTCAAAGTGAAAAAGCATGCTTGTATGTCATTTTTGACTAATTCTTTTTTAGAGAGTATGCTTGAAAAAGTTACAGTTTACAGGATAATAATATTAATAATAATATTGCTTTAGAATATAACCAGAATAAATAAATTTCTTCAATAAAAACTCCCGCAAAAAATGATAGAAGAAATAAAATCTTTCTTTTTTGTACTATCAAATATTTACTGATAGGAACTTATCAACTTGATAAACAAGACCTGCCGCAGACAAAATTTCAGAGGCATTTTTAAAAATTTCATTATTTCTGTTATTTTCAGATTGAACAGAAAATTAATAATAGTAATTAGTAATAAAAACCTAAGAAACAAAAACCTAAATTAAAACTTATCCCGAAAAAATTAGCTACAGATTTTTTTTTTTTAATAAGGATTGATTTTTTGTTAATGTTTTTGAATTTTAACTTCAATAAAAGTTTAGTTTTTTAATTAATCGTTATAATTCTCCAACAAGAGAAAAATAAATTCAATTATTACATAAGCAATGTATATTTTTAATGATAAGCTTTACTTACTTTTGCTGACAAAGGGAAGGGGGGGTTAAAAATTACAAAATTACTGCTTACGTAATACTTGAATGGCCCCATACTTAAAATTTAAAAAACCCACACTCAAAGTCCAGTTGAAAAAATCATTGAGGGTCAGGAAACCAAAAAGAAAGCACATTTTGTCTGGAAAAAATCAGGGAAGGTCAGGGAATTCCTGGAAAAGTCAAGGATTTTGGTTTAGACAAATCGGTGGCAACCCTGTTAATTATTATTAGGTACCTATTTAGTTTTTGCAAGTTGAATAATTTTATTTTTATTCTTATCCTGCAGTTTTAATAATCTTGTTCGGTGACCAATCTAGTCAAAGGAGGTGGTAAGACTTTTATTTAGAAGTAATAAATGAGCGAATGGTTAACTAAAAGTTATAGGTAGTAAGCCTTTTTTATTTAGTTATTGCACAAGATTAGCGCAAATTTTAGCATGAGCGACTTTAAAAGAAAAAAACTTTCGGGAAGCGCTTATAAAAAAAGAGATTGCCGAAAGAAAATAAACAGCGCAAATTCTCTGGTGCCATAGAAAAATTTGTTTTCCCTTCTGCTTCCACATTGTAAAGTACACTATGTATTTTCGTAACCCGATTCTTTAAGTACTTATACTGAAATACTTGTTTTGGCATATTCGTGATCGTCTAGTTAATTTACTTACTTTATAAAATTTAGGACTCTACGTTGTGTATTCAAGTACATTGATAATAACGTTATTTTGAAATTGGTCAGGTTTAATGAAACACAAGTATTTAATTTTTAAACCCCTGATTTAATTTAAGCAAAGACAAAGGGGTGGCCCGTTGAGTCAAAGCACAGGGAAAAGGGACCATAAAAACCCTGGAGACTTACACAGTTCAAATAAAAATAAAATACAAAACAAAACATAGTCATATGGGTCACAATCACAAGAATACAGTATAAATAACAAGTGAATAAAATATCATAAAAAGCAGATAAACATATTTCATATAATTTGGGTGTTTTTATCAATATTCAAAACATTTTGTACTCAGGTAAAATAGTTATTCTTAGAGATTGTCATTTTATGACAAAGATTTGTACTATTTGATTACCTTACCACGCATCTTCGAACTATTGAACGAGGATACGATTTTATATAAATAAACTACAGCAACGACATATTTCTGATAGAGAGAATTCATATGCTTTAACCAAGTGCAGATATTTAACCGTAGCCAATAACCACACTATGGAACAATTGCATACTCTGCGAAGTAATATAACGACAGCTATGGTGGTCCTATCTCACTAAAGTGTCGTTATATCACAATATGTTCAAATATTCTTACAAAATCAATGCCCAGAACAAGACAAAAGTATTGCGAAAATATACAAACATTTCTGCACACAGAGTTTATATAGGTAATAACATAAAAACACTATTTTTCTTCTAAGGATAAATCCTTTTGAAATAATGCTAATATATTACCCATGTTCAAATATTCATGCATGAGCACTCTCCAAACGAAAACACAAGTACAAATACAGACACAAATAAAATAAACAATATGCAATAAAATAAAATGGTATAAAATATAAATAAAATACAATAAAATAATAAATAGGAGAGCGTCATAACAAGAAACATAAACATGGCCCGAACTCTAACCACCAGAAAGTGTCGCGCTGGATAATAATATAAAGAGATTTTTATCATATCTAGTAACGTCATTATCAAATATTCCAAATAAAGCGCTAAGATAAGCAGTTTAAATCAAAGTCTCTATCCAGAATCTATCAAAGGCTAAACAATAGTATCCTTACCATGATATGACCTAATGGTAATATCAAATTTAATAATAATAATAATAGCAAAAATAATAATAATGATAACAATAAACCTTACCCAAATAATACCAATATTATAATAGTAATATAATTGTTAGAAGCTTTAGCCTGAGTACAAATGCAAAGATTGAAAATAAATAAATACCTTAATATCGAGATGATACACTGAGTTTCATAAACAATAAAATACATTTCAGTTAAATAAAAAACATTATACAAAGTTAAAAAAAAAGGAAACAACAAAATCAAGGCCAGTGTAACCCAAAATAAAGAAAATACAAAAATATTAATATTTAAGGTAAATTAATTAATTCAGTGTATATGATGAACGCGACAACATAAAGATTGAAACTCAGTGTATGCGAGATACCAAGATATTAAACCAAAATAATGAAATAGTGATACAATAAAAATTATTACCAAAAATCACTCGCCATTTACACATATTAAAATGATTAGGACCCAATAAACTAGCAATGATAAACGACATAGACCAAGATGCAAATTAAATAATGATGTTAAAATTATAAGCAAAAATATATTAAGAAAACACAAAACGAGAAGTTGTTTATCATTACTAGCAAAAATTACAATTTATAAAAGAGTACATACCTAGTTATAGCAGAAAATCGGTAACAATCACAAAAACTATAGCTATATTTTAATATATTTCACAAAACTGTTTAACAGGAGTATCTCGAAGGGCGAGCAAAAAACCCTCTGTCTGTATTCTATTTCCTAATCTAGCTTTTAAACATCTCGGCCACTTAAGCAAGAATGTGTAACATAAACATATCACCCCAATATTCCTACGCTCAGATACAAAGAAGTAAAATTTTAAAATCAATAGTTTTTTAAAACATAAAATAACTTAATTAAGTTATAAAACTATAATATTATTTTTAGTGGATTATTTAAATTTTCCTTGGTTAAAATAGCGCCAAATTTGAATTTAAACGATTATGTACCACAGGACCCTTACAACATCTTTCTCAGTTCCTGATACAACCCTAGAAAAAGATATAGAAGATACTTTGGATACGTCATCGCCAGTTGAAATGATCAGGGTGTCCCTGAATAACTTTTAATTAAAAGGTTCAGACGTATCCGATTTTTTTTCATATTTTGATAAAAAATCACTTACAAGACAATTTTTTTCAGTATAAACTCTTGGCACTTTTTTAGAAAAATCAATTTTTATAAAAACATTAATGATTTTTAATCAATTTTTTGAGATTTTTAATTAGTGAACTCCAAATAATGACTAACAGCTTTTAATGTATTTGTTACATAAAATGTGCAATTCATTAGACTAGTGAACTATTGACATATGTCCCTTGTCACATGTCAAAAATCGTGATTGAAAATACCGTTGTGTTATTTTACCGATTTTTTTTTCAATTTTTCGCAGATTTATTTATAAATTAGATATAAATAATTATATTTGCATTGATTATAGTATATAGTGCAATTAAGCTAATAAAAAACTAAGCATGGACTCGGATAATCGCGAGAGAATTTGATTGTTTTGTCTTAAAAAAGAAAGTAAAAAATGTCTAAAATATGTGGAAAGATTGTGTAAAATGTTCAAAGCATAGTAGTATATGATTTAGAAGATGAACGATTACCAAAAGTTGAATGCAAAGGTTGTGAAATTTTATTATATAAAGCAGCTAAACAAGAAATTTATAGAAACACGTTAAATTTGCCTGATTTTTTTAAGTGGAAATAATTGGGTATAATTTTATAAAAAGTGCTAAAAATAAACCCATTAAAAAAGAAAAAAAGCATGTGTTTTTCTTTTTTAATGGGTTTATTTTTAGCAATTTTTATAAAATTATACCCAATTATTTCCAATTAAAAAAATCAGGCAAATTTAACGTGTTTCTATAAATTTCTTGTTTAGCTGCTTTATATAATAAAATTTCACAACCTTTGCATACAACTTTTGGTAATCGTTCATCTTCTACATCATATACTAATATACTTTGAACTTTTTCCAGAATCTTTCCACATATTTTAGACAAAACAAACAAATTCTCTCGCGATTATCCGAGTGAGTCCATGTATGGTTTTTTATTAGCTTCATTGCACTATATACTATAATCAATGCAAATATAATGATTTATATCTAATTTATAAATAGGTAAATCTGCGATAAATTGAAAAAAAGCGGTAAAATAAAGCAACGGTATTTTCAATCAAGATTTCGACATGTGACATGTGACAATTGACATATGTCAATAGTTCACTAGTCCAATGAATTGCACATTTTATGTAACAAATACATTAAAACATGTTAGTCATTATTTGGAGTTCACTAATTAAAAATCTCAAAAAAAAGATTAAAAATCATTAATGTTTTTATAAAAATTGATTTTTCTAAAAAAGTGCCAAGCGAATTGAGTTTATCCTGAAAAAAAATTGTCTTGTAAGTGTTTTTTTATCAAAATATTAAAAAAAAAATCGGATACGTCTGAACCTTTCAATTAAAAGTTATTCAGGGACACCGTGTGATTCATGAAAATCTTATAGACAACCAGGATAAGTCAAAAAACGATGACAAAAAACCTTGCGATAAACCACGACACGGACCAAGATTTACATTCCATGATTGGCAGTGACCTTGACATTACTGAATTTGTTTTCCCTTCTGCTTCCACTTCTTTCTCAGTTCCGGATACAATCCTAGAAAAAGATATAAAAGATACTGTGGACACGTCATCGCCAGTTGAAATGATTCATGAAAATCTTATAGACAACCAGGATAAGTCAAAAAACGATGACAAAAAACCTTGCGATAGAGACCAAGACACGGACCAAGATTTACATTCCATGATTGGCAGTGACCTTGAAATTGCTGACCCAGCATCCTGGAAGAATTTAAATGATTCTCAACATCAGATTATCATAGAGAAGGGGCCAATACAGGTTAAAGGTATTGATTTTCCCAAAGATGACTCTGGAAGACATTTTTCAGACTTACATTACTACCGTATAATATCTAATGGGGAAAATGTAGACAGAAGTTGGTTAATTTACTCAAAACGAGACGATGCAGTGTTTTGTTTTCGCTGTTTACTATTCAAAAATTCTGATTTAAACGCGAAAAACTGGTCCAGAGGCTATAAGGATTGGAAAAATATTCATAGAAACATATGGAGTGCTTTACAAAATGAAAAGAAATGGAAAACAGGCTAAAGTTGGGTAAAGAACATCAAAGAACTTTGAACCTGGAAAGACAGCACTGGAGAGAAAAAAGAATTATTGCTGTTATACAATTATGCGGTTCACAAATGTTGCGACTTCGAGGTACTTCCGATAAAAATTTTAAGCCCAATAATGGAAATTTTTTGAAGATAATGGAATTACTCTCGCAATTTGATCCAGTACTAGGGAACATTTGAGAAGAGCATCTATCCATTCAAACGTTACTCACTATCTAGGGAAGACAATTCAAAATGATATTATAAACCTACTAGGAAAAAAAGTTCATAATACCATAATTGAAAAAGTTAAACAAGCAAAATACTATAGTATTATCCTAGACTGCACCCCGGACATAAGTGATATGTATTGTATTATGTATGTTCTTCATTAAAGCACTCTTCTTAATTACTTAGATTTATTATCACATGAGGTAATATACAATAGTACATGTCTTGTTCGTCTCTTACAGTCGACCCTCGTTCCCCGGCACCTCTCATAGGACATGCGCCTTGTAGCGCTACTATACCGGGCGTACACTACAGATAGTGTACAGAGCGTACACTACACCCCCACACTAAATTGGGTTCCTCCGTAACAGTTTATTTTAAATTACATGTGTAATACTTGTCAACTAATTGATACCCAATAGGTGTGCGTGTGTCATGCTAGCTTTTAATTTAACTAACTTCACTTATCTAAACATTTTGTAATTGTTTACATTTACATAGGAAATGCACATATTCCCCGTTATTCTATCACTTTAAATCCTAACTACACATACCTATCTTAGCCTATTAAAGCTCAGTCTTGTACATAAGTTTCCTATTTTACTACTACTAAAAGATAATGTTATCACAGTTTATTTTCTTACATTTTAATTATATAAAAATTTACATCTACAATTACACTTAAAATAATACAATAACACATGTTAAGGATTAATTAAACTTCACAATTATCAACCTCCTTCCCCACGACAAATTCTTTGAATTTGGAAGGCAATTTCTTTGTTCTATTGCTACTTCTTGTAGAAATAGCAAAGCTTTGAGATTTACTGTTTTGAGGTGTTTCAATTGTATTATTTACTACTGAGCTATTTGAAGTATTTAACTCTTTTGAATGAAAATTTTCGTTCAATTCATTGTTTTCGTCTATAACCAAACTTGATTGATCTGACGACTCTCCTGGCGGCATGCGACTCGAAGTGCTTGCTTCAGAACCCTCGGCAGACGCATCAGGTGAAACTTTAGGTGAGACTTTATCGAAATTGCTCTTAATAAATGAATAACCGTCATCATGTGAGTCATTGCAGTGTTCCCCCCCATCAGAAACCCCGATAATTTGATTAATGTGACGCTTGCAAAAAAATTTCGATTTTAATTTACAAAGATAAACCGATTTACCCAGTCTTTTAATAATAACCGCTTCACTCCATTTCGTGTAAGGACTCCTAAAGTCTTTTACCATCACTCTTTTACCCGTTTCGAGTTGTCTGAATTGTTTTTCCTGGTTTTGTTGTATGTATTCTTGTTTGTTTTCACCCTTCTCTTTTAAAATTGATAATCTCGTTCTTAGCTTCCTTTGAAACATCATTTCTGCTGGTGATTTTTGCGTCACGGAGTGTGGGGTGTTCCTGTATGACATTAGGAATCTGGATATTAATGTGTTTAAACTTACGTTATCATTTCTGCGGTCTTCCAATGCTGCTTTTATTTGTCTCTTGAAAGTTTTTACCATATTCTCTGCACGGCCATTACTCATGGCATGATATGGTGGGCTGGTTATGTGGTTTATTCCATTTTTCTCCAAGAATTTTTGAAATTGCCTGGATGTGAAGGGCGGTCCATTGTCACTTACAACAGTTTTTGGTAGACCCATCGCAGCAAAGATCTGTCTCAACTTATCTTCTGTCTCTGTTGCGTTTGTTAACGCCATTTTAAATACCTCTACCCACTTGGTAAAGGAATCTGCTAAAACTAAGCATTTCTTACCTCGGATTTCGCAAAAGTCAATGTGAACCCTTTCGAATACTCTGGTTGTTTCTGGCCACGGCGTTAAATTATTTTTAGGTGGGTTCTGTCTAGTCTTTAGACATGGTAAGCACCCATTTATCAAATTTTCTATGTCCTTATTTATGTTTGGCCAAAATACAAATGATCTCGCCAGATTTTTTACATCGAACTATACCTGGATGGTTCGCATGCAATAGCTGCAAGATTCCTTTTCTCAGAGCCTTGGGAATGATAATTCGATGTCCCCACATTAATATTTCGTTATCCACATGCAAATCGCCTCTAATATGATGATATTTCGATAGTTCTTCTCTAACTACCGTTGGCCACCTGTCATTCTTGACATATTTCATAACTTCAGAGATTTCATTATTCTGTTTAGCTATTTGTCTTATTTTGTCGTTGTTAATTGGCCAGGAATCAAGTGATTCTGTAAAACAGATGTACGAGCCCTAACCACATAATGTTCGGACACTTCATAATTTATACAGAATTTTTTTTCGTGAATACTATCTCAAAATTATTAGAAGTTATGAAAAATTCAGCTTATTTTGGCATATACCCCTCGAAGCGATTTTTATTTTTAAAAAGTTTACCTTTTATTTTTAGCTTTTAAAAAAAGGCTAACTTTTTAACTTTTTTTTGCATGAGTAAAAAAAGTTATAAATGGGCCCATTAAAAAGAGCATAAAATATTATACAAACCCTGAAAATTTGGTAAAAAATAAATAAGTTATAAAAAAGTATAAGTAATTTAAAAATGCTATTTTTAAAGAGTTTTTGCAATTTTCTTAGGAAACGGGAGATTTTGCAGATATATATATCGCTATAACTTTCTTATTATTTATACAATTTTTACCAAATTTTCAGGGTTTGTATAATATTTTATGTTCTTTTTAATGGGCCCATTTATAACTTTTTTTACTCATGCAAAAAAAAGTTAAAAAGTTAGCCTTTTTTTAAAAGCTAAAAATAAAAGGTAAACTTTTTAAAAATAAAAATCGCTTCGAGGGGTATATGCCAAAATAAGCTGAATTTTTCATAACTTCTTATAATTTTGAGATAGTATTCACGAAAAAAATTTCTGTATAAATTATGAAGTGTCCGAACATTATGTGGTTAGGGCTCGTAAGATGCTCGTTCTGTTACTTCTTCTGCTGTTGGACTTGTCTTTAGAGGTGCTCTTGACATATAATCTGCTACTATATTTTTGCATCCTTTAATGTATTCAATTTTATATTTAAAAGTTGAGAGAAACGTCGCCCAACGTTGCAGTTTGCTTGCCGACATTTCTGGAATGCTTTTGTTTTCACCAAATAATGTGATCAGAGGTTTGTGGTCGGTTCTTAATGTAAAAAACACTGAGCAAAGGTAATGATACAATTTATTTACTGTGAAATAGACAGCTAAAGCCTCTTTCATTATGGTACTCATGTTCTTCTCACTTTGTGTCAAGGTTCTCGATACACACATAACTGTTCGTTCTTCTCCATTCACCATTTGAGATAATACCCCACTGATTCCTTGGTTCGACGCGTCAGTGGTTACTATGATCGGCAACTGGGGGTCAAAGTGCACTAAGCAGTTATCCGATGCTATCATCTCTTTAATTTTAGTAAATGCTCTGTCACATTCCTTGGACCACTTGAACTTTGTGTTGTCTTTCAACAAGTCATAGATTGGTGATAGTACATCTGCCGCATTAGGTATAAATTTGTGGTAGTAGTTTACTAAGCCCAGAAAAGTCCTGGTTTCGGAAATGTTCGTGGGTCTAGGTGCGTCAACGACGGCCCTAATCTTTTCCTTTGACTTCTTTAACCCATTTTTGTTGATAGTATGGCCCAAATATTGAACTTCGTCCTGGAAGAAAGAACATTTCCCCTGACTTACAGTCAGCCCAGCCTCATTTAGCTTCGATAACACCTTGTTTAGGTTTTCCAGGTGTTCTTGGTCATCTTCGCCTGTAACTACCACATCATCTACAAATACAACAACAAAATCCATACCCTTGAACATTTTCTCCATTTCTCGTTGAAAAATGCTTGTCGCGCACGTTATACCAAAGGGCATGCGTTTGATTTTATATAGACCCCGTTCATGTTCCATGTCAGTACCTTACTGGATTCTTCGTCCAACTTAAATTGCATATAAGCAGATTGCAAATCAATTTTTGAAAACTTTTTACCATTACTTAACTTATTAAAAATTTCATCTACTTTAGGTAGGGGATATTTTACATCTTCTAAATATTTATTTACTGTAATTTTATAATTCGCACACAATCTAATTTTACCGTTACTTTTTAAAATAGGAACTAGGGGTGTAGCCCAGTCGCTATTATCTATCGGCTCTATTACACCCTCTTTCTCTAATTTATCTAACTCATCATTAACTTGCTTTTTATAAGCTAAGGGAACACTACGATGCCTCACAAAAATAGGTTTACATTCACCTTTCAACCTTAACTTTATTTCAGTAAGTGTATATTTGCCTAATTTATCGGTAAAAACCGTAGGAAATTTCTTTATTAACTCATTTACTTTATTAACTACTGATATTTCGTTTATTACCTCAATTCTAACCTTGAAATTAGCAATCCAGTCTCGACCTAAGACGTCCGCCGATGCGTTCTCCACCACAAACAGTTTGACCTTCCTTATGACGTTTTGGTATTCTACATCTAGCAGTAAATATCCCTCGGGTTGAAAGCAATTTCCATTGTATGCCCTCAGGAGAGTATTATCTTTCTCTAACCTAAAATTTGAAAAATGTTTTATATATGTCTTTCTAGTCAGGGCACTAACTCCTGCCCCAGTGTCAATAAACATCTTTAGGAACATATTATTTATTTTAACATTTACTTCAAATATTTTGTCAATTTTCCTTAACATACACATTTCTACAACACTTGAGTTTACTGAAGAGTTATTTATAAATTCATTATTTGCTGACACGTTATTAAAATGAAAAATTTCTTCAT